TGTGACCACAAATTAAAAAATTAAAATAGATAAATTTGTCAATAAAGTTAAAAAATTCTAATCCGTTAGCGATTTGGTATAAAAAGCTACATAAACTAGTTTTTTCAATCCGCTAGCGATTTGGACCATAACTACTATCTGCTAGTCTCAAACCGCTAAATAAAAATTTTACCAAACACTTTAATTGTAACAGTTTCGAAACATATAAATTTACCAAACACCTATATTTAGCGGTTTAGGTAAAATCGCTAACCGCTACCTCAAAACCGCTATACCAAACGGGGCCTAAATCAAAGGAGAAGATTGGCAGATGGCAAAAATTGCACAAATTCATGGAGTATGCGTTCAAATATAATGGTGTAAAGATTAATTTACCAAAATATTAATTCCCTACATTTATGTCTTTTTTTTTTTGCATTTTGCCTTTCCACTCTTTGATTTGTATAATCTTTCCTTATTTTTTCAATCCATACATCTATAAATTATAAATATTTCTCACAAATAATACACAAGTGAGAGTATTATTCTAGAAAAATCTCTCCTTTCTCTTTTCTGATAATAATATCAAGAAATGTCCAAGAAAGATAAGATTCAATCTCCCGTAAACAATGTTAAATTTGAAAATATATGCTGAAAATTAGTGCAAGCTCAGTGAAAATTAGTACATAGAACCATGTTTGAAAGCAACCTTTCTTAGTCTTGAGTCTTGAACTACAGCCAAGCAAGAAATTAAGAAGAGGTCTGGGGAATTAATGGAGATTAATTTCATGATACGGAGTAGTCAATACTTTAACCTTGAAAATCCACATTGCACAATTAACGCATATATCATTGTCCTACGTAATATCACAAACTTTGTGAAAATTCCGGCTGTAGGGACAATGGAAGAGAAAAAAATCAATAATATGGACAAACTAAGGACTTTATAAGCCTAAATCTTGGTTTAGGAGCAAGTATCACAAAGAAATATTTTGTTTCGTTTGTTGTTTCTCGAATATTTTCTTCATCTCTATATTATATCAATATTATGTTTTAGTCACAAAATCAATAAAATTAATAATTAATGAACTTATTATAATAAAATATTATAAAAAATTTTAATTAGGCATAATTGGTTTCATCACCAATAATAATTTGTAGATAAGCCTTTTTTTTATGCTATTTCTCCATTCATATGCAATCTCCATATTGGGAACATATCATGATTTTGAAATTTGAGATATAAATCTCTCACATGAGAAATATTCATTATAATTTTTCAATAATTGAGTTTACGAAAAAACTTATTTTCTCTTAAGATTTTTTATAAGAGCCTATTAACTTATCTCATATATTATTGCCACAAATGCCGACTCCTCTATCACATAAACTTAAAAAGTTAATTTATGTTTCTAGAATATACCAACCCAAACCTTATGTATATTTTTTCCAAAATAATTGTATGGACTAAATTGGCTAGCTTCCTTCTTTAATCCATTTTCTTAGGTTATCAAAATTTTCATAAACTCATTTTCCATAATTGTTTTTCTCTTCCATAGTTCCTAAATGAGTAGAACATAATTTTCTCTAAAGAATTGTCAAAAAAGTAATAACAATAAAAATAATTAACTAATAAAATATATGATCATAAATAATAATTTACATATAATATAACATAATCAATTAAATGCACTTTGCATTTTTATCAGCCAAAAAACAATATTAACCATTATGTGAATGTCAACGGCTAGCAATTATAAGCTACCAACTTATACATTGATACAACTGGCCATAAACATGCAATAACCAATTAAATATAGAGAAAGAATATTTATGAAGCATATAATTTTTTTTTTTTTGACAGTCAGAAATAAATTACAATATATATAAGGGTTAGTGTTTGTCTGTCTTATCTCTAAAAAATTAAAAGGAAAAATGATAAAAAAACACCCTAACTCATAATTTAAAAATATGATATTTTAGTCTTTTTCAATAAATGTTTATTAATATTACGTAATTTTAAAATAATATTCATCTAATCTTTAGAAAGTAAGACGGATAAACACTATTCTCATATATATATATATATATATATTTAAGGTTTACAACAACCGTCCATTTCTCAACTTCATACTGGCATTCATTCAATAAAAATGATCAGTGTTAAAACACCCAAGTAATCATCACATGTATACTCAATTTTAAAAAGCAAAGAACATGTACAATTCCTAGAAGGACCATAGCGGATGAATGGTATACCAGTTTCACGTGCCTTTTTTTTTAAATTTTTTTATAGGCATCCACGTGCCAATAATACTAATGCAAAAATAAATAGCCTACTATTCATGCTTGTGCTAATAATTAGGTCAGGACCAAAAACCATATACCCGTTTTAAGGCACCGAGACACCCAAAATAAATAATTTATATTTTACTTACATAACTTGGTATGAGTGTGCATTTGTTTTTTAATTCATAGATATTGGATTTATCCCAAATCTAACCTTAGATAGATCATTGGATGCAAAAATGCTAAAATGCTAAAACTTTATAATAATATTTTATAAATTTGCACTATTTATAAAATTATTTAACCCAACTCAAGATATCATTTTTTGCCTAAGAATATTTAGAAAAATAAAATAGTTTAAGCAAAAAAATGTGGAGAAACTTCTTCTCAAATCGAGTAAAATAATAAGTCCTATAAACTTTCAATCTTATAACTTTTATTTATAGATTAATAGTAAAAATAAATTAAGTAATTATTATAAAATGATACGCACATAAGTAAAATAAT